CTTATAATTATTTATAGCTTAAAACCAAATAATTATAATCTGTAGCAACATGTTGTAAGAGTATAAAAATTAAGTAAACTTAAAAATGTTGTCATCATCATGGAATGAAAACAAGCACTTACCATATAACCGGACTGTAACTTTCATTATTATGAGTAGAAAACGAGAGAAATATTACGAAAGTTTTGCTAAAAATATGGAGCATGTCATTTGGAAAGTCGTTCGTTTTTTTATTCAACGTGGTTCCCTTCAAGGGTGATCACAGCGATCTTGCAACTTTTCGATACCATTTTTGCAGTAAGATTTGTTTTTTGCTTCAGTTTTGGTGATCATCTCTGCATTTGCCGAAATCTCCTCCCAGCGAGCATTATTTTGAGATCTGAGAAGAGAAAATAGTCACTTGGGGCCAAATGTGGAGAATACGGATGCAATTTGAAGCCTAATTCAGGAACCATTTCCAACATTTTCACTGATTTGTGACATTGTCTTGGTGAAACAGCACTTTTATTTTCTTCAAATGCAACCGTTTTTCGCCGATTTCGTCGTACAAATAGTCTAATAACGCTATTTATAGTCACTGTTGATGTTCCTGAATTTTTCAAGTTAGTCAATAAAAATAAATTCATGCACAACCCAAAATACAGACGCCATAACCTTGCCAGCCGACGTTCAGCCGAATTTCAGTCCACTTGGATGACTGTCGATTGAAATTCAGAGTGACATTATGGAGCCATGTTTCATCTATTGTCACATATCGACGAAAAAACTCTGGTTTATTACGCTTCAACAACTCCAAACACTGTTCCGAATCAACAACTCATCATTGCTTTTGGTCCAAAAGTACTCGCGCAGAACCCACTTTGCACAGAGCTTTTGTCATACCTCATTACCAGAGTCCAAATAGTGTTGATCAGTTCAAACCTTGGCTTCAATAGTATTTTCTCCCCAAAAAAGCAATAACTTTTTAACACACGAAATTCCCTTTGCCTATTCTGACAGCCAGTCAACAAAGGAATAACGACTTCGTTAACGAATAAGCAGACTAGTTGACCAAGCTAGGAGCCTCCTTTTACGAATCCGCGGTGCAATTAATGACGATCGTAAAAGAGCTTTTAAGCATTTTGAACAAATAGCTCAGATCAGTCAGTAAAATCAATAACAAACTGCAAGATAACGATGCAGATGCAGCCAAAGTCATGCCAGGCTAAAGAATCAGGTATTTATAAAATAAATACAGACATATACACAGACCTATAGCTCCTAAAAAGGGATTGGCTTTATGGAGAGTATGCTCTAACAATGAGTCTGCCTTATAGCAATATTTGCCGCAGCTGCAACTTCCTCTGTGAATGCCAAGCTCTATCACAACCCACGACATAGAATACTTGGAACSCATCAGGCGTTTTTAAGCTGTCTACAAAAAGAACAATGGATAAAAATAGGTTAGTTGAGAACACTAAAAGATTTGAGCGCCATGATGAAACAAGATTGCAAGATTATAAACTCTTACGATAGTGTATCAAAATAGCGTATCCAGTCCAGGATAGCAGCACTCTAATCTCCTAGATCGATTTAACGATTTTGGTTAATTTTTTTCATTGTTAGAGTCGTCCCAAAATACCTAATCTTGTGGAAGAACGACGCTCTGATGACGAGACCTGAATTTATATATATAATATGACGTCGAAACTGTCCAACAATTTAGCGAAACCGAAAAACCTGAGGCTCATAATAAGTAAATGGTAATGTTATTGGATTAAGCGTTGGCTGAGGAACCTATTTTGAAGGCGAAAATAGAGGTTTGTGTTTATGAAAATGTTGTTTTTTTATCAGTTCGAGTCAAATTTGACGGTATATTTAGAACCCTTTACATTTTGTGCTTTTTTTGCGATGTATGATTGAAAATAGTGCAAGGTTTGATCTTAACCTCAAATCATTTTGAGTAAAAAGAATAATTGGTGATCAAAAACTGTTGAACTTGTTAGTACCTCAGAGATTGCAGAAAAAACTCAAAAGAGTTTATTTTCGTTTGTACATAATAAAAACTTAAAAAGAAGGTCTTCAAAAGACATCTATTTCGATACTTGATTTCATTATGGAAGGGTAACAATCTTATTTAGGTTAGTACAAAATAAGTGATATGATATGTTTGGGGTGTGAACTGYGTAGTTTGTGAGCAAAACCTAGACTTAATCTTCAAGTGGTTTTAAATCAAGTATCTCTGTATCTCTTTGAGAGTATTAATCAATCTAGAACTTAACTTGGTACATTTCATTTAGGAGATTTCATAAAAACCTCCCATCAACAATTTTCTGAAATTTTCTTTYACAGTTTTGCAATAAATAATAGTAGCTATGCGATCTTCGCTTTATTTTTAGATATAGATAGAATCTGTCATAAGGCTGATTTCTCCGACCGAGAACTTACATGGACGAAACCAAAAACTCCTGCATATTTTCAAAGGACCCTCCTGTAACAACAAAGGACTTCGAGTCTGTTACAAGTTTCTTGACGATGCTGATTTCAAATCCGACCAACTTCTTTTAGAGGGGTTACTGGATCTAGATGATCCAACTAAACCATGCGCTGCACTTGATCCTATCAAGATGAGCTTGCCCAATATTTCTATAGACTTTGTTTTAATTAAATCCAATCTTGATCCCAAACGTTTACTTACTTCAATAAATTTAATAAATTACGCTTGTAAAGTAAAAAAAAAACTGTGGTAAAACTTATAGAACATATATTTCATTCTTTCAATGCGTTTAAAAAATTTTTCATATAAGAAACCCAATTGACCGAATTATTTGAATGATATTCATTTTCACAAACTTCAATTTTAGTTTAATTATTATATTCAACAAACTTAGAAGCATACCTTCGTAACTCATTCGACTTATTTTCAAGACTAACCTTCACAAAATATCAAAATTTTGCAATCAATTGTTTAACTCTTTTTTTTTTATAATTTTCTGACCTAAATTAAAGAAAGTGCGTGTGATTTACTAACAAAGAGAGTTGAAACAACTAAGGGTGGGCTAAGTTTAGGTCCAACCCAATATTTTTTACTCTCCCGAAATTGTGAATGCATTACAAATAACAAATAATCAGAAGTACAGAAATCTTCACATTGGTTATATAAGAGTTAAAAGAACGAGTGAACCGATTTTACAAATTTACTGACATACTGAACCGATTTTAGAACACAGACCACAGTATTATAAAAATTCTTCATTAATGCATCTTACAGATTGAACCATCCTAATCGTCAGTGAAACTTAAAAATGTTACATGCTTGATTTACAGACATCGGCATTCTCCCTTCTAGTCATGTTGATCATTAAAATAGTTGTAGTTCTATAGCCGTTATACAAAAAGTTTCGAGAATTTTGAATATTTACGGTCGATCATTTTGAATGTTAATAAATGTTAATTTTTGATAGTTGTTTTGCTTGGACGCGTTTTGATTCGTCTAAAATTTTTGCTTAATCCAAAATAGGATAAAGAAAATTTCATGAAATGTTGGGTGAAAAACAAGGACGCATTCCGAATGTAAAGCTGCCTTGGACAACAGCAACGTGTATCAGTGATACAAACTGTTCTCAGAGGATCAAGAAGATGTGAACGACGAAAAAATATTGAAATAGTTTAAATAACGCCGCTTCTCACGTATCATTGCTTGTGCGCGAATAATTGTCCATAAAAAATACATTAATGGTGACGCAGTCCCCGTATTTCCAAGATCTGGCTCTCTGTGACTTTTTTCCACTAAATTTTGTGTGCAGAAATTTGTGCTTGAGAATGACGATTAACATTCAGACATCTTACTGACATCGTTGGAAGCAGTGAACMCCATTTCGGAAGATCATTTGAGTCTAAGAAAAGTGAAAGCACTTGTGGTTCCAAAATCACTAAATTTTTTCATAAAACATCGTCGGGTTGAAGCCTGCGAAACAATGCTTTCCGACTACCAGGATGTCAAGTAACGTATTATTACTGGCGATGAGTGTTGGATCTATGCTTAAGAATCGGATACAGATAATCAGTCGGCCGAATATCGTGACAAAGGTGGGCCGAAGTCGAAAAAAGCAAATCAAAGTAGGTCAAAAATCAAGATTATGTTGACAGTTTTCTTCGATTAYCGAGGAGTGGTGCACTCCAAATTCCTTCTGACCGACCAGACTGCCAACAAGGCRTACGGTTTGAGTGTTATGCGTCATTTACKCGGAGCTAAAAAGWGACCGGACTTATGGRCTARCAACTCTTGTTTGTACTACGWTAATCCACGACCGCATATTGCATTCATTCTTCGTGAGTTTTTTGATAAATTTTYAAAATATATCGTGGCGCAACCAGCGTATTTCTTTGTGATTTTTGGCGATTCAGCACASCCAAACGACCGTTTCGGGTAAGTCCTTTTGAGCCCAGTACGCACGTTTAAAGGAAGCAGGAAAAATTTTATCATTTTTAAATATGAGGTATCAAACCAAATATCCAGAACTCTTCCATCTAGTGAACGGGAATCATTTTCGTATTATATAACWTCATCCTWAGCCGAWTAKTTAGGTGAACAAAACTATTATACACTCTGACAATATATTGCCAGTGTATAAAAATATCGCAAAGATGTCCAAAWGCAACAATTAGTAGTAACATCCGCAAAATTTTATCGCTCGCTGTTAAAAGTTAAAACAATTAATTTCATTAACAAGAGCATGTCTWAGAGATTAAGACATTAAAAAAGAAGTGACTAAACCCAGCAGGTATTTCGGCTGTGCCAGTGCTAATCTATAAAAGTGCGCCACTTTCTAACTCTGGCAAACAGTTCGGAGTAAAACACATAAGCGATTGCATCATTCCTCCTTGACACCTTCCACAAAATGCTTCGTCTTCATAAATACTTTGGAAAACAAGCATTTTTTGCCATTATAACGGCACAATTGCTTGCATTGTCRCATGCAAGAGTGATCAGCCAATGTAGCTCCGAAGCAGGGGAAATTATGCCGAATACCGACGCAACATGCAACACACAATATCCTTACATTTACTGTAACGGAGCTAGTTCGGCCTATTGTACGAGAGAACTTTGCTTAGAAGAAAACGAGTGTAACAATGAAGCTGTTGCTGAAGTACCATCTGCTCCTGCTCCAGCTATAACACCAGGAACAACTGCACCGGCACCTGCAACAACTGCACCGGGGTCTGTTCCAGTGGTAACACCACCAACAGTTGCACCTTCAACAGCTCAACCGATAACACCACCAACAGTTGCACCTCCATCAGCTCAACCGATAACACCACCAACAATTGCACCGGCACCAGCAACAACTGCACCGGCACCGGCTCTACCGATAACACCACCAACAGTTGCACCGGCACCGGCTCAACCGATAACACCACCAACAGTTGCACCGGCACCGGCTCAACCGATAACACCACCAACAGTTGCACCGGCGCCTGCTCAAACTACAACCGAAACTACGGCTATTATTAGAGAAAAATGCACAACTAACAAGGAATTTTCTGTACCCTATATTGGCAATTGCCGTTATTTTTACCATTGCGTTAATGGCTATTTTGGAATTGGAGATTGCGGTTTCAACATGTACTTCGATGTAAACGAAAGCAACTGTAAGATTAGAACACAAACGAGCTGTCAATAAATGAGTTAATCTGGGAACATAAACTGGACCGCTTACTATTAATAACAACAGTTCTACGGAAAATTACTCGAGAAAAAGAAAATAAAATATTAAAATTATTGAACTCTCTTTATTGCCAACTTTTGTAGAAAAGAGGTCAGTGAAAAAATTTCCTGTTTTCTCTCTATAGCCGAGCTTACAAAAGCGTGCCAGTCGTTCCTCCTTTACGCTGTTTGGCGTTAATTGGATATTAAAAGTATAGTCAGGTCCTCTCTACCTGGTTTTTCCATCGGAGTGGAGGTCTTCCCCGGCGGTTACTGCTTCGAATACTGTCAGAGCTAGAGTGTTTTCATACATCAGAACAACATGACCTAGCCAKCTCAGCCGCTGTCTCTTGATTCGCTGAACTATATCAATGCCGCCGTATATCTCGTTCCGTTGACTGCGSTGCTCACCGTTGCCAATKCGAACACTCCTAAGGSCGASTCATCAGTTGATGTCATTGTACATGCCTTCGCATCAYATAGCAKGGCGGGAATAATCAGAGACTTCTAGARTTTRGTCTTTGTTCGTMGAGAAATAGCTTTMCTTTTCAGTCCAAAGTAGCTACTATTGGGAAGAGTGATTTTGTGTTATTGTTGTTGGTGATGATGTTGGTWCCAAGATAGAMGAAATTGTCAACGACTTGMAAGAMGCGATGCGRTGASTATTTGTTTGATGRCCGAAAAAATTTCGTCTTGAACTTATTCACARCAAGACCCATATGCCTCGCTTCCTTATACAATCTRGARAAAACAGTACTACCTGCGTGGGTGTGGAGTGAAATCAATATCATCGGCGTACGCCAGCAGCTRTACAGTCRTATAAAAGATTGAACCTTCTCTWTTTAGCTATGCAGCTYCTATTATTTTTCGCAGCAGTAGATTGAAGAAGTCAATAGAGAGTCGTCTTGTCTGAAAACTTCATATTCTTTAAACCACCTCACATAAACTGCGGCTAGAGCGGCAATACGACCATGAAAAGAAGATATCTGATTGCGAYAAACATATTCTCTTTTAATAGAATAAATATAGGAATATTATATCAACAGCTTAAAAACCTTATGCTTTCTAAAAGCTTGCTTAYAGCGACAGACGTTGGAAAAATTGAATAGGTCTTCAAACTCTAACAACTCACGGCGAATCACAAACTTATAGAAAAGAAGGAACTAAATCGTAAGGTAGGGCTTATCAAAGGGCACCTACTTTTGAAATTCCACCTTAAGAATCGCAGAGAATAATGAGACAGAAGAATTTTATCTTTCCGAAAGTCCAGTCCAGTTAGTTGAGACAGGATTTATGTGAGAACTTGTTCTCTAGCATCTCCGAAACGTTATGTTCAACAGCGAATAAAAGTTGATTCAGGATTATTTCAGCCCAACCAAACCGTACGMCAATTTGAAAAAATATAACCATACGAAACTAAAATCTTGACGGTTCCTCTAAATATCCACAGCCGTGGTTCGGAAAAAAAGAGTTTCAGAAAGTCATAACCTATCTTTGCATGATACTTTTTCTTTTTACTTCCGATGACGAGATGATAAAAACTTTCGATGAGTTACCTAGCATTCGGTTACTATAATTGTGAACACAACAGTGCTCAAATAAACACTCATCAGCTGATAACTATTTGTCAATTGATTTCAATTGTAAACAAATATTACAATACACCRTCATGCTACCAGAAGCGATAACAGACTTCTTGCTTAACCCAGTTACAAATACTCATTATTATGTTGTTAAGGCAAAGCACGCTTATCAAAAAGAAGTTAACTCATACTGACATAAAAATTAGTATTTACCTCCAGGTAAGCGGGCGAACTGATATGTACGCAACCTCGCTAGCCGGTAACGTCACTATCGCAAAGGAAAATACTTATAGTTTAGTAGGGACTGCTGCTGTAAAGCCGAATAAGACTCGCTTATTTTCCGTTATGTGAGTAAGCGGAAGTGTCCTCGGGTTTGAGTCAAATAGAAACAAAGACAAGTGTGGGGCTTTCAAAATATGTCGGGAATTGTTTATATCTTCAAAAAGKGTTTATTTAYTCATGAATATCYACTTTGTGCCSTTCAAAGTCATCACCTCCGTATATATTATATTTGAAAAGTAATTTTTGTGATTAGCTCTTTCTTCGATGCAGTTTTTATCTCCTCAATTTTTGTATACTCAATAGCTCCTCAGCGTCGGTTAATGTARTCTTTCAAGCTAAATGTTCGCACACAAGCAACGATACGGGAACAGGGTAGTTAGCATAGTACATAAGCTTCCATGAATTCGGGTGTATAACTTACAGTTAATATTGTTTACTGACCATACGACGACCCTTTGGAAAGAACTTATTATGTACGATGCCTCTACAATCGACGAAAACTGTTAACAAAATGTCAATATTCGACCTAATTTTTCTCGCATTTTTCGACCTTGGTTCAAGCGGCAGATGAATTTGGGTTGAYTGAGCTTTGGTTTCCACGTCATAACCATGAACCTATSATTCGTCATCAGTTATGACCCTCYGAAGCAGATCTGAGTCATCGCAGACTGAGTCCAACATCTCCTAAGCAATATCAACGTGACGCTGGTTTTGTTCAGCACAATACGCGGTTCTTTTTTTTTTATACACATCATATCGATTTTGGTTTTTTAGAGGTAAAGTGAAAATATAAAACGATTAGATATTGTACACAGGGCTCTTCTTTCTTGACGGATTAGATCAATAATTTTCCAGTAGTTGCACATCATTTGTTGATCAGCAACCTCCAAATCTACACAAAAAATTACTAAACCGGAGAAAAAATTTCAAAAATCGTTGCCGCTTACCGKGTTTACTCACTCCGAACAATAAGTTTGACCGCAAGACCATACCATCACAGTGTTYGAAGCTGCTTAAGTGCAACACGATGAAGTTTCTACATCGTTGGTAGCCTTCGACGAAACATAAATCCAAGAAACAATCGAAACTGTGGACTTCACCTACTGCTTGCCTTGCAGAAGGCGCAGGCTGCCTTATAGACATAAAAGAAGGGGACCACTCTTTTCTGGAACTCAAAAGGTGTTAGTGAAAGGACCAAACTCTCACAAGACTCTACTGATCCGAAGTATAACCCAGTTTGGAAGACATGGAGAAGGAAAAATCGGTATCAAGTTTTGGGTTGATTGGATCTCGAATTGCAGAAAAACTTGTTCTGTTTGGTTAAGAAAAAGTGCTCTTCCATCATGACATCCCATCAACTCACWCCCACCGTATTACCACATCTAAATTGGTCAATTTAGATCAGGATCGCAGTGCTCAATGCATCGTATTTTCCAGGTTTAGACCCGTGCGACTCTTTTTTTTCCTAATTTAAAAAAAGCCGTTTGTCAATGAGAAATKTTTGCCAACTGCGAATAACCACTTTGCCAGCTCAATTTTTCATACCTCCAGTAAACACATTTTTCAGACGGGTGAAATAAGTTGGAGCCATTTGGATCATGTGTATCCAGCTATAGACTATGGAATAAGCCATACTTTTTCCAAAATTTTCATTTTTCTTTTATGCTTTAAGTACTTATTGAACTAACCTCGTATAAATATTTATGGGCTTTTGTGTTTTTTTTCCAGATTTCGAATGAAATGACATCAAATTACATTCCATTAGAATGCATCATGAGAGTAATCAACTATTTGGATACCAAAATGTTGCCAAGCAATCTTTCATTGATTAGAAATGCGTAAGCGCCCTGGGACACGCGACGAGATCTTTGGTTCGCTCATATAAAAGCATCACACCGAACGAAAAAATATAGTCAAATCGTAAACGCATCATTGAACGTGTCGCTGGAGTTAAAGAAAAAAATGCTATTATCCTTTATATATAATTTTGCCGTTATAATTTTAACCGCGCTACAATTAGTTGCACCGTTACAGGCGAGAGTTATAAGCGATTGCAACAGCGTTGCATTGGAAACAACGGAATATATACAAAATTCTAATACAGCATGCAATTCCCGTTACCCATATATTTACTGTAACGGCGAAGCGTCGGCTTACTGTACACAAGATGAATGTTTGGAAGATTACCAGTGTGAGAACGAAGATTTAAGTGAATTATCAAAAGGGGAGCAGGTGTCAGCAACAACCGCTGAGCCCACAGTAGTAATAACGGAGAGTACGACAACGACACCTAAAACAACAACAATAGTAACAACTACTACCACGCAGAGTACAACTAGTACCGGRCAACAAACAGCGAAGGTGACACCAACAACAACAGCTACTACTCTAAATATCTCAACCGCAATAAAACCTCTACTTGCGAGTACAACAACAATAGTTGCACAAAATATCAAAAGACTTTGCCGTGCGGGTGTCTTCGCGAATTATGCCTATTCAAGGAATTGCCGTTACTACTATCGTTGCACGAACGGTTATTTCTTATTACAGGAGTGTGGCTATTTAATGCTCTTCGATGCGTATGATGGTTACTGTAAGAGCGCCACAGAGGCGCGCTGTATAAACCGGCTGATAAGTGTTTAATATTGATTCAAATAAAAGGTCTGACTAGAAACCGCGATAAGGATCTAACTGTTACGGTCTTTCAAGATTTTCAAACATGACTTTGAGTGTATAAAAGAGGGTATTGGTTAACGGAATTGGCTAACACAATAGTTTTGTAAGATAATAAATTATTTATTGGAATTTAAACAAMACTTTGCTTGCAATTTATTGGGTCTATAACTATACTCGCATGTAAACGTATTATTCAATACGTCATAACATTTTTCCATCCCAGAAGAACTGCCTAGCTTGGCGGCCAAGAATTARTCAAGCGAATTTTTGATACCCAGTGACATACGTATTACATCGGTCGGAAGAAATGGTAGTCAAAAGGGGCAAGGTGTGCGCTATAAGGCGGGTGAATAAAAAGTGACTGTTATCCCAAATGGGTTCTGACCGATCTTGCAACATGAGAACAAGCATTGTCATGATGGAAAATTATTGCCTCATGTCTAGTCGCGAATTTCGGTCGTTTTACGGCGATCGCTCGCTTTAATTTGATGTGTTGTCATCGGTAACGTTTCCCATTAATAGTTTCACMTGGTTTTATAAGCTCTTCACGCAGCAAGTACTTCTGATTCCACCAAATACAGTGCAAACCTTGACGTCATGGAAATTTAGCTTTTGTTGGCTGGTTGGCCAGGTTCACATATGATTTTTTACGTTTAGGGTTCACCTATTTTACATCACTAGTCACAATCTTATGCAAAAGGATTTTTGACTTCTAAAATCGACTTTCAATGTCTCTTGGCTTCAAATCATTTGGGTACAATTGCGGTTTCCTTGATTTTAAATGTATCCAGCTGCTTAAAWTGCCTGCTTGAGTGATTTCCAAAGACTCTCCGAGCTTTTTATATTTGGCAACAATCTTAATCGATTAATACTTGCAGTTATTCACTCTCAAACTTTTTTGGTTGGGTCGGAAATTCTCTGACTTCCAAGACAAAATCACCACTTTTAAATTATGCAAAAAAACTAGAGCATGCATGGCTACCTTCTATCAAGACCGATTATTTTCGAAGATAAATTTTCCCCTAGTTAAATGTAATTTTATTCAAAGCTTCAAGTTTTACCTGTTGCGATGTTATTAACTTCACCAAGACCGTGTAAATCCTTCAAGAAAGTTACAGAATACATCTATATAAGTAGTTTGCATAAACCAAAAGCTTATCTGGAGAGAGCCTAAGGGTGATCTTAACTTTTTATAGTCCAAYTACCATTCCCATCATTGAAATACCAAGAGAATAGGGTTATTTCCTAAGATACGTCTGAGCTCTGAAGATTTATGACAGCCTTCTACTCTTTCACAAAAGGTTTTTCATGAAGACATCTTGACGTTCCCTATTAAGAACTTTCAGATTGCTAGACGCGCTTTATATCAATCCTTAGTTGTCCCACTACCACAGACCCTGTTAAAGACTAGTCTACACCCTCATTTTCGAGAGCTCCAATTTTCACCAAAAGCGYTTCCTTCTGCCGCTTGGTTTAGTCATTGGACAAGAGCTCTCTAAGAAAGCTTTACAAGCAGTGCTATAGGCTTCAACATACTCTTCCACCGCGTCAGAAGAAGCAAGGATTTCTACCATGGCTCGTCTGGAAGSGATAATCGGAGCTTAAACCAATATAGGCTCTAGTTTTCTGTAGTTCCTATAAACTATCTTAGACGGACGAGCGGACGGTGCTCACGATGCATCTGTGATTAGAAATTGTGGACCCTTGTTGCTCATGAAGGGAGAGAGAGAGAGAGAGAGGGAGGTGTCGGCAGCATGACATAATGATATCAAACTCTGCATAGTCTCCTCGTGTATCGGAGCCTGGCTCATCGTSACACAGCCGTATTAGTTTTCCAGCAGGTCCTTTTCGTGCAATSAAAAGCAGCTTTGAAGTGRTGTGTGTCGATCSTCTTTTCACGTATCTTTTCCAAGATTTGGCGCATGCTRAATAKCCTGAACCTGAAGCCACACTGTATTGAAGGATGTTGATGTGAACTACTTTTGGTTCCAACAAGACGTACACTACGTAGTAGTAGTCGTAGGCTTAACAATTAAGATTCAATAAGTTTACTGGGGAATCACTTACCTATTGGATAACGCAAAACATAATAAAAACTCAATTACTAGGTTTCATCTGCTACGCGTCTCTTTCTCTCGATTTTTCAATTCTTAAATTGCATTCTTCTGTCCCTCCATACACCCGAACTAAGCTCCTTTTCGCTGCATTGCTTAATTTCACCTCAATCAGCGGAAAAAAACTGAATAACTTCTGTACGTCATCGAACAGTTTATAAATAAATCTTTATGATACAMAAGCACTTGAAATAAAGTCTCACAAAAACAATTTACTACTGTTATGTACTTATCTCGACACTAATTACGCCAATTTTCATATTTTTAGACACACCCTAAGTGGTTTTTCTACAAGCTATTTCTGTCAGTATATTTTGATTAATGAGTTTTTAATGTTCCGAAAGACAAACAAGGGCATAACCTATTAATATTTTAGTTAATGACTTCCGAAGCTCTTTCGATTCACCCCATCTTGATACGCATGCACTGAACCCCTGATAAGAAGGCCTTATCGATATCGTCGCTAAAAAGCTTTCCAAACTCTCCCAATCCCCGTCGCATTCACTGCTCATMTTGGCGCTCAAGCGCTAAATTGCTGCTACAAATCATAGCAAAATAAGAAAACCTTATCAATCGCCAATTATTCCAAAATTACCCGTACTTCAATTGTCGAGCGTTTAGAAATCAGTTCTTAGAAAATACAAGTAAGGAARGGCTAAGTTCGGGTGTCACCGAACATTTTATACTCTCGCATGATAAAGTGRTAATCGAGATTTCAGGCGTGGTTGTGAACCGATTTCACCCATATTTGGTACATGTCATCAGGGTATTAAGAAAATATTATATACCGAATTTCATTGAAATCGGTCGAGTACTTCCTGATATGGTTTTTGGTCCATAAGTGGGCGACGCCACGCCCATTTTAAATTT